AGAGCCCTGTAGGGACTTTAGAAACGTAAACTAGTACACATTTGCTGTACTGCTGCGAAAAATGAACTGGGATTTATGCTTTCTTACCAGAGACCTACAGGTTGCAGTATACGAAACCTACATAAATATCCAACAATATCTGGAACCATTCGCACTGAGATCCGATAAGAAGATTTCCACGAAAACAATGAGAGTTGCATGCGTTTTGCGTAAGCTGAAGACACTTCACTCCAAAATAAGACTGGCGACTTCTCAATGCTTATCAGACAGGATAAGCTACTTGACCAGTGGCGGTCGATTCGTACCACAGAAGAAAAGCGAGCATTGGTAAGAGGTAATAAATCTGAAGCCTTTATCAAGCTGCTGAAGGATAGAAACGACACTCAAGCCAAATCGATTTCAGGCATCGTATTACCCTATAGATCCATGACCAGGGACCTCACCATAATACGGAACGTCATGGATGAACACGTGTCCACCTTAGTTACTACCTCAGGCAGCATACTTAAGTTTAGCACTCCTATGGATGTTTGAACCCTGAGCAGTGGAATTCGATTGCGGCGTCATTCAAGCTCACATTGATCGGCTACGATTTTCGCCTCATCCTGGACCTGATGGTCTACCAACCTCTGCAATGGAGTTTTGTGGCCTTTATAATTCGCTTATACTTGTAATCATAATTACCCTATCTTTGAATTCGGGGATAGATCCGGATCAGTGAAAACTCCCTATTGTAGAGCCTAAGCATAAAAATGACTAAAACCTAGACATTGAAAATTGTCGCGAAATTGGCCACATAGAATATTTCAAAAATAATGAAAAGAATTTTGCAAAAGAAAACGATTATGCACTTGCTCCCATTGCATGCGATAAATCCAGTCCAACATGGGTTCTTGCAAAAGTGCTCATGCCATACTTGTCAGCTAGCCTTCCTAACAATCTGACAAGCTCCAGTGACAGTGGCAAATCGGCCATTACTTTTTTATTGACATGCAGACGGTCTTCGACAGAGTGCCGGACGACAGCTTTCAGGAGAATTTAACAAATTTCAGGATAATTGATCCCTTTCCTAGACAGTTTAATTCTTAGCTGTCTGGTCGCACGCAACAGGTACAAATATTCTAGATCAAATCTTTATAACTGAAGATCAAAAGTAGTGTGACTCAAGGTAATGTGTTGAGTCCGTTGCTCTTTCTCAGTGGTGTAACTGAAAAAATGCAATTTGGGACCTTATATATATGTTTGCGGATGAGATAGAAATAGTATAAAACTCCGATATCTAGTGTTTGAGCCATACTCTAGAAAACATTCGCATGAACCTACTGGCCTTGGGATCCTGATGCAACGATTGGCCAATGTCCTTCTCTGTGTGCGTTGACATGCATACGTGAACTATCGCCAAATGGTTTTCACCTCGGTGGCAAAATTATATCCTGTAATAATACTATACATAATCTAAGCGTCCGTTACTCTAGCACTGTGAATTTTGTTGAGTAAGTTGCGTTCATAACGGCCAGATGACGAAATGCAAAACGCACCTTAAAATCGTTCTCGATGTGAGAAACCTAATCTGCATCTGTTTGAAGTTTGCATTCGCCATGTGCTAGATTACAGCTCGATTATTTTAACTAGATAGTTGTTCTTTTTTCCTTCCGGATTTTATTACTCATCATGGATAACATATTTTCTTCTCAAGCGTTTGACGTCGCATATTGATATTCTTATTTAACCAATCTGTTATGGAGTGTTATTCCATTGTTGAGTTGCGGCTTGTCTAACCCACACTTTAGTATGCGTTACTAGAATGAATTGTAATTGCTCATGTTGTTCCAGGTCCGACTACGAATCCTCCATACTCGACCAAAGCCATAATGTTTGCATAGGGCTGAGCGATCATTGACTCCCATTTGTGGCATAGACGTCAGATTTGCAATTTTGTTATGTCCCAAGTAGAAAGCAACTTTCGCTTTGGATCTCAAGTCTGGTTTGCTCACCATTACTCTTGTTATGTTGCGCTGTACAGTTTTCACGGCTTCGGGGTCAGTTGGCCTGAGATCCCCGTTAAATCTACATGCGTTATTCTAGAGCCCAACGTATGCGGGTTAGTGTTGCCGGAGGTTGGTTTGTGCAAGATTTGATATTAGTTGGTTTTTTGGGCCAACCTATCCGACGCGGTGCAGGCATACAGGAGGCCAGTCAAGTTCCGCCCCAAGCGAACTAACCACAATCGCACGCGCCTGCGAAACAGAGCAAAATTAACCTGCCCCCGGAAACGGACGAATCTAATTTTAAATGTTAGGTTTTTCTGCTCATTTGCAACTCTACATCCCATGACTAGTTTGGCATTTGTTTGCACTTGCTAAGCAGAGATAACCGGTCTACGACTGTAGTCCTCGGGTTGCCAGCCGCGATCGTTACTCCCAGGCGACGGTCCTCACATTGTTAATGGCTAATTCAGGGTCAATTTAAATAAATAATTAAATAAATAAACAATTTGTGTATTCTCGACTAAGCGAGACACGCCTGCGCATGCATGATCTTGTTAAGAGTACAAAATGTGATCAGCTAATGTACACTGGAACGATGGGATTGTTGCATATGTTTATATATGAATGCATGTAAGTTTGCATGTAGGCGTGTTTAGCTTTGTTTATGGGATTGGTAAATTTTTCCTGTCGTTTTGCTTGAATGTGTTTGAAGGTGTCGCCAGTGCTAAATGGATGCTTGCTATCTGTGGACTTGAAGCGATTGTCCGGATAAGCAGTGGGTGACTTTAGTTAGTGGCGCGTCACAACCGCCACGTCACAGTGTTGTTAAACGGACTTTTGTGGCTTTTTACAGGGAGAACGCTTGCCAGGCGAAAACCCACCACGTCCTGGAACACTGCTGCCGAACTGTTTGCTGGAAGATGGTAAACCCGAACCACCCATCTGGCACCACGAGGAGGTTGTTCGGCCAGCCAGCCGAATTGTTTGCGACGCTCCATCTGACATAGAAATGGACCTCGACCAATCCAATCACTGGGACTGTGAAACACAAATATCGATGTTTCGCTCTCCATGTCCTGGTTTGTAGTTATTTGCTCCCGTCAGGTTGGAATGGCAGAACTACGGCTCGAGTACAGGACGCTGGAATCTCAGCCGAATTCTCTGTCCCTAAGCCACGGAGTCTCCGGCCGCGCTTGTCACAACCGAGTATTTGGGAACCTATAATAATAGGAATAACAGATTTTCACTTCGTGGAGATCCCATATAATAGGGTTAATTTCTCCATACCTCATGAGATTTTATGCCCTTAAGTAGCGTTTCGGGAGCTTTCTACACTGCCAATAATCTATACATTCGTAAACTGACCCTTAAATACTGAACTCGTTGTTACGACCATCAGCAGATGGTGAATTTCCGCCCCTCAGAGCTTACCTACTGTTGATTTCGCAACCTCTAGTCATGTGTCTTGGGTACCCCTTATAGAACAGATTCTGTTCAAGCTGAAACCAGTTGCCAGAACTAACTGTTCCATTTTGCTGGCAGATAGTATAGACAAAGTTCCCATCTCCAGGCGTATTACCATATGAAACATGTGTTGAAAACTCTGTTGATGCGTTTCACATTATTAGGAATATCATTGTTAAGCAGCGTGGAAAGTAACGGACAGGTACTGGGGCTACAAAACGTAGGCGCACTTTGAGTGAGTGGTCACTGAAGTGCTTATCCAACAGACGCTTTCGTGTCGTTTTAGCCTAAATGTTCGCGCTATTCCCCCAAAGAGAGGCCAAGCACTGCTTGTTGAAATCTGTCTTTTGCCATCTGAGTTCATCTCATCATCTGCGGCGCCTGTACTCGTCACTCAAACAAGGTAGACCATTTACTTTACCTTTCTTGTTTTTGTTTCCTGTCTTTTTTTCACCGTTGTGTCAACCTTGCTTGCAACGTGCTTCCTCGTCGTCATTGCGGAAGTCACTAGTAAAAAGCAGCTCTGCAGCATTTTCTCCGCTCAGACTTTTCTATCTTCACGTGACATACCGTAGTTAGCATGGGTTGTGCAGTCGATATTCTGGGTGACTGCTCCGTGATTGAACTAGTTACTTAATAAAAAAAACATAATGCATCATTTATCCTCCGAGTACCTAGACAGCATGACAGTAACCAAACCATTGACATTATTTTAAATGTTCTGTCATGAAAATGGACTTCGTCCTCGCTTGCGACACAGCCACAGTGCAGCGAATGTGACCATCTGGGCATTCTTGCATTCGATAGTTCCTTTTAGTTTGCCCCATCAGTTTCGTTTGACTGACAGAGTTGATGCTTAAATCTTACGTTCATGTTATTATTTTAGAGTTTTTCTGGTACGTTAGTGAATAATTCCTGCTGAATCGAAACTGAGCAACCTTGAGATGTGCTCCGATGATAATGGGAGTGAGGACACAGTCTCCACTTTAGTGTTAATAATTCCATTTGCTTGGCTAGATTTGATTGGACTCAAGGCACCATTTTAATTACGATGATTAATGACATAGATTATGATGAATTGAGAAAAATTTCCGCCTAAGCGGCTTTATCGCATAAGCGAAAACGGAACAATGACGGTAATTAATTCTCCATCATTTCATGATGTGATGTGGGAAGAGGCCGCGACTCTCAGGGAGCATTTGCGGCAATGATGTGGGGGCTGCTGTCGTGCGGTCGTAAATGGGTGGAACGCACCGGTGACGAGTGGTGACGGTAGCCTTCTTACTCTCATAATGTTCCGGGTTGCAATCCCCACCCTCCCACTTTGTCGTGCGGCCTAAGACTGTTTTTCGGGCCAGAATTTAGCTGATCATCCCCACGTGGTGGGCGCAGACCACTCGACTGTATGGCCACATCGACGCACACGGATGCCCACAAATGTTGCGGTTGGCTCGCTTCTGTGGCTTTTGATTGGCCATTGACCTAGAAGTTATGACAAACACCACACACGTGACGCGTTTGGCGGTCGGGCCATCAAACCGATAATGCTCGAGGGCAAATAAACTTTGCAACACCCCATCAGAGAGATTACGAAGTCTTCCGGTGAATACTTTATTAGACTTTCGAACTTGTTTAAACGCCAGTAAGTCGGCACCTTCCATGTCTTCCGCTCTTGATATCGAATGCCTTAGCTAGGACTTAATTTTCCTCCTCCGCCTTGTACCTAAGAGTACTTTTGAGCCGTTTTCACTTTGGCGCAATAGATTCCCATGTTGTTGTATACGGCTTAGTTAGTTACCTCACTCCAAATACTTTGTGTGTTGTCTGTGTTTAAATCTGCAAGATCATCGTTTGTCGAAGCAACCAGAGCTTTCCTAGGAGTAGAAGTCTTAATGAAATCGAACGTGAAATTTTGACACTATCGCTTGAACTGGAATCACTTTTTCCAACCCATCCTACGTCATTTGGTTGGCTGAAATTCGTATTTTCCCCTGACTTTAAATCATCACACTGAGTAGCCGATTTATCAACACTTCTAACTTGACGCCCGTGTTACACCCGTGTGTCTTCTAATCGATTTCTGTGCATGAGTAGGCGGTCACTTCATTACGCCCACAGCGGATGCTTTGCAGTCGTCCAGTCAGCGGATCCCCACCCGATGAAAGACTCTTCTGCTGTGTCAAATGCTCCCAGCCGATTATTGAGACACACTTGCTCCTGGCGGACGGAGTATACTGGCACGAGGATTGTCTACGTTGCGCCTGCTGTGACGTACGTTTGGCGGAATTGGATAAAGTGTATTACGTCAAAGCGAAGATGCCACTTTGCCGACGAGATTACCTCAGGTAAGCCTATAAGGATATTTCTTGTTTAAAAAGTTCGTCCGATATTATCCTTTAATAATAGCATGTAATATTTCACACATTATAGATTTGGCCGTGCTTTGACATTATCATTCCTTGAACCACGATGAAACTTTATACCAGCGCTTCAGGTACCTCTCGCTTTCCACTCATCGAAATTATTCAACTGAGCTCGAATATTATGAATTACGAATCGCTTATCGTCAGCTCATTAACGTGGCTGGTTGCTGAATGAGGTCTCATCGCTGAATCATCTAGGGATGCTTTTGTGTCACATCCGCTACGAAATGGCATTTCATGGTTCGGTGTTCGACCCTTGTCATGTAACGTTTATACACATAGTTAAAGTTTGTGATGGTGAAGTACATGTGTTTCACGAAAGCACATCGTAGGATTCGAGGAGTATAGGACACTGGAACATTTCAATGGAAAATCCATAATTAACACCTATGGGTGGTCTCCGCAACTTTGCATTTCAAACGGGTGCTTTCCGATTCGCAGCAAATCCGCTTCCCGACGGTGCGAAGACAGCTGCGTTAATGTTGTGGCGCTAATTGTGCGCACGAGGTAATTAGCCCCATTTTCAGGCATACATGCATGTACTTCGACTCTGTTGAAGTTGCATCATCATTATAATCATTATACACGTTAGCTAGAGGTGGAAAACACGTCAGCTATTGTGCCACAATACCTAAGAAAAGAAGAAGAAAGAAGCTTGCAACCGAAGCACTCCAGTTGCGCCACCAGTAACGGATGGGTATCGTTCCGGAAAGCTACCAGCCGGTATTGTGCCACCAAAAAATTATTTTATGCAAAATTTGTAATATGCTAGGAAATATGATTGTGTTTGTAGGAAGAGGCTAAATGGGTGTAGAGATGGACAAAGAAACTCACAACACAAACTCCACTGAGGTCGGTGCCTAGCCATGTCATCAAGCGTATCCAGCAAAACCGTTGAAGTTGCACTCAACGCAGTGGGCCGATTTGAGCACTGCTGCGCTTTTATCGGCCGAGACGCACGTCATACCACGATCGAGCTCGAGGTTGCGGAGATCACCAAACTACAAGGGATGTGCCCTGCGGATTGTGGAAGTAGTCCTTCAATCTAGACAACTGTCAACAAGGCTGCTGGAGTGCTGGTTTGTGGCACGCAGTAGCCTTCTTTTCAAGCTCCGGATTAAAGCAGCATCTACTAATCAAACATGAGAGCAGCCAATTAGTCGGACTACTTCCAGACAACAGTTCGGATAACTACACTCAGCTAGCTAACAAAACATACAAGTGAGAAGCAAAGCGGTAATGCTGGGATCTATGCATCTGACACAGATGAGTTTGTCATCGCCCAAAAGACGATTAGTGGCCGACCTTACACCTGTCGGCACAACATTATTCTCAAAACAAGCCCCCCCCCGATTCATTGCTAAGAACTGATACACTTTCCTGCATGCACATAGGTGCACAAGGTCTCCTGAACAAGCTTGACGAACTGCGAATACGTCAAGTATCTTATGCCTGGGACCTCATCTTTCTAACCGAAACTTGGTTGCACTCGGAAATTACCGATGCCAAAATCGCGATACATGGCATGTTCCCTATTCGAAACGATCACCCTAGCAAGGGCGGCGAGGTACTGTTATACTACCGCCGCGACCTACAGTGCGAACTGGTGGCCCATCTAGGAAACGATGATCATAGACTCACTCTGATGCAGTCTGCGACTTCGACGCAACGACACTTGCCTTGTGACCAATATCTACCACTGAGATAGACTGTCACCTTACATTAGCCTTGGGAAGGGTCCTACGACGACGACACAGTCATGTTCTCATCTCATGCGACCTCAATCTTCACTATCTTGTAGTTCCGGTATACCCAATGGACAATTTAAAGCCGACCTGCAAGAGCTTATTGCAGGCATTCCGCTTTTCAGCCATGTCAACGCCCACCTGATTCGGAGCCAGAAATAAAACATCTGTGCTTGATTTAGTGCTCACGAACGAAGAGTCCATCATTGGGAAACCACAGATGGAGAGCCCCCTCGGGCAGAGTGACCAGGTAACTATAATTTACCACCTTGTGCGTTATGCGGAATATCCGCATTACAATAATGACATCTTTTGAACAATCACACACTACGATATATTAACAGAACTTGTTGGAAACGCTAGCTGGGAGTTTTCGGACGACTTTTCATTGACAATGCCTGGATGGAGTTTGCTGACAAGTTTAGTGATCTTGTGGAGAAGGCGGCGCGGTGCGAACGAGTTGTGTACTGGAGAAAGAGATATACATAGTATAACACTTCTAACCTTGAACACTCGGGCTCATTTGCGCACTTCATTCGTGGTGCCATTTGGTTCTGCACTCCGCTATGTGCTATCGACTCAGTTTGCTGTAACGGTATAGGCCCAAAACTCCAGCGTCATCCGTTTCCATGGCTGGTAGAATTGTACACTACGCGCCCGTCGTCCGCGGTGATCCATTATTCGCTGAGTTCGTCGCGCCTGCTCGTTTCGCCATGCTACTCATTGGTAGTGCACCACATTCTGATTAAATCCGCATCAGTTAACACGCCCCTTCGTACTGCAAGCGCACAATCATTCAATCCGGATCAGAACTTGAAAACACATGTCAGTAAGAGATGCAGCTTGGCATGTATAGAGAGCGGACCCTAGATCTGACAACTAGAGCAACTGTGTAGTGCACCGTAAATACTGTACCACACTTGTCCGTGAGGACAAATTGGTACACCATCAGTGCTTAGCGGAAAGCTTTTGTGCCAACAAAATGCTTCTGTACAGACATGTTAACAGCCCCCCAGAATGTCAAGCGTGTTGTTCCCTCTCTATATCAGCAGATGGATGTGCTCAGACCACCAAGAATGCAGCCAACGTTCTGCGGCTACAATATGGTCCAGTTTTCCGATGTACTGCCATCATATGTAACATACCTGTCCTCTTCTCCCAGACGTCAGTATTTACACATGTCACTTTTAGTTCAGCGACCATTTTGAAAGAGCTGCTATCGTTGCGCACTCATAGTTCCCCCCGGAGTTGACAGCGTTCTCCCGAAAGCTCTGTAAGTGGCAGCTACGAGGATAGATGAGCCCGGAAGAACAGCAGGTCCCTAACAAGTAGAAGCAGGGCATCATTGCCCCGATTTTCAAGTGCTAGCCATTCGGATTCCGGTAAAACACGGATTCCGTCAGCATCGGTCATGTACTACCAACCTACTGATTGCTCGTGGCAGTTGTACTGTGACAGCCAAGAGTGGGTCGGCCTTGATGTCATCTGCCTAGACTTTTCTAAAGCATTTGACCGCATAGATCACCACATCCTACTCCAAAAGTTGAAAGCGTACGCGATTAGCGACCCAGTACTTGGATGGATCGGATATTTCCTTCTTCATAGGCGCCTTTAGGTTCGAGTTCGGGGATCATCTTCTGATTCGGTCAATGTGGACTGCGGTATTCAACAGAGGTCAGTGTTGGGGTCGCGCTTTTTCTTGTTCTTCATTAACGACCTCGCGCGAGTCATCGAGGCAAAGCTCCTGATATATGCTGATGACATCAAGATACGGTGAGCGATAGGCTACCAGGAAGATCATGATATGCTGCAACGAGTCTTAGACTGCGCTTTTCTATGGTCAAAAGCTAATCTACTTCCGTTCAACGCAAACAAATGCAGAACCGTGCATGTCCGCCACAAGTTTACTAACGCATATAACCTTGGAGACCATTTGTTGAAGGATGTCTCGCTGGAGCGTGATCTTAGGCGCAGTCATTGAAGGCGTCCAAAACCACAAACCAACATGTTGGCCTCTTACGGAGGGCTTTCGGGAAGTTCGATCCTTCCATCTACCCCCCAACTGCTCAATGCGTATGCGAGAGCCCATGTAGAGTACGCGAACCAGGCTTGGCAACCCTGGTTAAAACGCGGTCTGGCTACACTGGAGTCCACACAACGAAAGGAAGGAAAAAAATAAAGGGATTATTCCATCTGTCATACCACATGCGAATGAAAACCCTGGGAGTGTACAGCGGAATATATCGCCGTCTACTGGGTGACCTCATCCTGACGTTCCAGATCTTGAAAAACTACGGTCACCCTTGCCGCCACCTCTTGACACGCAGTCGCAACACAGAATGGTCAGAAGCTAAAACTCGCCACCAAATACAGTCGGCTTGAGTGCCGCCGGAAGTACTTTTCCCTTCGAATCTGTCAGCCGTGGAACGTTCTTTAGAATTTTCTCATTTCTGCGCCCACGCTACCCACTTTTAACAACGACTTGTTGTTACGTTACACTGCACTGCATTTCTTGATCTGATTTCTGTTCATTGACTGACGACAAGCCGCATACACATCTTGTGCTCAACAACTCCCACGAAATCGGAGTAAACAATATATTTGTCTTAAAGTGGATAATATAATGGGTCCACAGATGCGATTTTCACTTTGTGTAACTTTTTTCTTGAACTAACGTTATTCCGCTGACCGTTGGTGGGGATCAGTTAGAAGTCGTGCGAAAATTCAACTACCTGGGAAATTGTATCAGCACCCGTGGAATTGAGGATAAGATCATGAACCGTATAACATAAGCTTGGGGCGCTTTTACTAACCTTCGCCACTTATGGCGCCGGCGCGACATCACTCTTGCCCTGAAGGGTAAAGTGTACAATGCAGCAGTATATTCGACCCTACTGTACGGTTGTGAAACCTGGCCGCTTAAAGCAGCGGACCTGAAGAGGCTAGTTACGTTCGACCACCGGTGCCTTTGTAATTTAGCTTACATCTGGTGGGAACACCGCGTGAGCAACGAGTGTGTTCGACGCCTTGTTTACGGTACAGGAAAGGGAAATTACCCGCTCAGCATCGTTATTTCACGCATCAGGCCCCGATGGCTCGGCCACGTGTTGCGCATGCCAACCCACCGACTCCCGCGACGTGTGTTGTTTGAGCGCCGAGGATGTTGATGGAAGAAGA